GTCATTTCTACTTTCTCACTGTCAATGGAAAGTAGGTTTTTCAGTACCTTCAGTAACGTCGTATGGGTTTTACAAGTATTGGGAACTTATCCGCTTCAACATGTCAAAGGAGAGACCCGCGTCAGTTTGAATCTTTTTTTGTACAGTTTGTTCTTGAATACATTTTTCTTCTTAGGAGCGATTATAGTACTAAAGAAATGGAGCAAAAGGGTCGTCATGAACAGAATTATTTATTCAATGAACTTTTCGAGTTTCTTCGTTCTACTCGTCATATTCAACTACCGGATGGTTAAGCATTTCAAAAGAATGGACAATATAATACGGTCGATCGAATCTGTCGAAAGGAGGTTGTCGCGTCTTGGAACGTACTTCCAATATGGATCGCCACCATTCAAGAAAACGATTATCACGATTATATTTTGGATTGTAACTATAACCATGAAGTGCGTATGCAAAGGTTTTAAATCCCATTTGAAGAGGTTTTTGAATTATTATTCGGAATTATTGCATACGCTGAATCTCTTGAATTTTCTGTGCATTTTACACGGAGTCGAAGTGTTGTTGGCGAATGCATCGGAACAGCTCAGATGGATCATTTGTAACCCTACGAATATGAAAAAGAAGATAGAAACGTTGGAGAGGCTCATTGAGATCCACGAAGATCTTTGTACTTTGTGTTATCAAATTGAAAAATTTTATTCTCTACAATTACTCCTAACGGTATCTGCTAGCTTTTTGAACTTCATTGCTAATGTTTACTTTCTAATGTTTCAAGAAACAGTTTGTAGAACCATCATGAGTTCTTTTGCAGCACTCGTCGGTCTTATGCATAGTTTCACAGTCTGTTCTGCGACTGCTAGAACCAGCAGGAGGGTTCGTATTTATTTTTATATAATATTTATTTCATTTATTTATATTTTTAATTTTTTTTTTTTTTTTGCAACTGCTTTACGTCCGCATGAAACGAATTTATTGTCGTTTTTCTTTGATGTTCTTGATTGTTTTTTACATTAGTTTGTTAGTGTTCAGAAGATCTCTAGGCCACTGCCTTTTCAAAGTCAACGTTCTGACTGACCGGATATTGAAAAATAGCCATTTTATTTCTACAAAAACACTACGAAATTTCGTTGTTTTATATCTTGAGGTACTGCCAGAGGCTTAAAAATAATAATTTTGTTCAAAAATATCTGATTTTTTCAGTCAAATATTGTCTATCAACAGATCCTTTTTTTGCTATAACAACAATGATATGATTTTTGGGTCCTTTAATTGCATGCTTCGATTTTTTCCCAAAGTTGAAATAAATGGGATTTTTACATAAATATCGAAATATTAATAGTGAGTTGAATTAATGTATTATAATTTTACTTTCACTTACCTATACATGAAATATATAGTAAAGTATTGCGATCGTGAAAATTTTCGAATCTCAATTTTCAACGGAAATACACGTTTTGAGGTCCCCTGAGTCCAAATAACAGTCTCGCAAAATGGTCTGTGTGTTTTAACAATCTAGCTCAAAAATGAAAAGTCGTAGGAAAATGAAATTGCATATTTAAGGTTTTTATATGCTTGGAATGGTACAGCAACTTTTTCATCAAAATTGGCTAACCGGAAGTGGAACTGTATATCATGAACTAAACACATTTTTATGATTTTCTCGAAAATGACTCAAAAGATTTTGATTAAATTCATCATATCAGTGTAAAATCAAGCAGTTTTAAATAAATTGTAGTTTTTATTCTGATTGATGTTCTCTAACAGGGTTTTAATGGCTAATTTTTAATATTAGCTTCCCCTAAAGTACGTTTAATTTTTTTTATTTAAAACAATTGACCATTTCATATTGATTTCTAATATAAAAAATAGTTAAATATAAAGTATGAAAGAATTTGATAATTAACTAAAGGAGAAATAAGAGATCGTAACAGGAGAATAGTTGTAATTGAGGAACCAAAGGAGCACGAGCGCACCCGAGCTCACCCGAACTCACCCAAACGTAACATGATTTTACAATGGAATAAATATTGTGAAACAAATTTTCACTGAGGTGAATAGTTATTGAAATCGTTTTTAAAAATCAACCCATGCCTATATTATTTTGTTTTTATTTTCATTTAAATAATGTTGATTAATGTAGTTTGTGGCGTAAACATAAAACATGTAAATGTGGTTTTTATTTTTGTTCATAATTGTTATTACGATTGTTATTATATTAAACATGAGCTTAATATAATACGGACTCCGAAAAAATTATGTAAACATACAGATGCGGTTACATATAAATGCTATTGTTGGAATTATTTAATATTTAATTGAATAGATTACAGAGATATAAATATTAAAATTTATATATATAAGATTACTTATACAAATAAAAATACCCACAATGAAATAGCGTCTATAATTTTTACTTTCACTTCCCCTTTATTTGAAAATAATTTTTTCTGCTAAGAAGAGTATGATAAGTGAAAGTTGTGTAATGCGCGCACCGCATCAGATTTTTTTTTTTTTTACTTTCGAATTGTTGTTGAAACATAGTTATTAACTGTGTAATAATACGAATTAATTTACCAATTATTTCGGGTGTTCTGCGTTTAAAGAGATTTTCGAGAGGGATTAAATTTGGACATTAACATTTACTAATTCACAATGATAAAATAAAAAAGTAATATAATAATTAATAATTATATGGCAAAGAAATAATCGGAGATTTATCAATAGTAATCTGGTAAATAAAATAATATTTAATAGAAGTTTTACCGGATTTTGCAAATTCTATGGTCGCGACTGTATATGAATACAACAAAAATAATATGTAAATGTATTAATCAGAGGTTGAAACTATTATAGAATTTTTTTTTAAAGTTCCATTTTAACTGTTTCTGCAAAACTGTGTAAGGTTAGAAAGTTCTAAGTAACTTAAAGATCTATGTTAATGCTAAATGTTTATCTTTTATATGTATTCAAGTTCTTAAAATTAAGTTACGGTAAATTAGAAATAAATGGTATCACTACCTTCGGTAGTGAGGAAACAAAAAGTATATATCTATGAATATAGTCTATGATGCTTCTTCAACATCGCTATCTAAGAACTTGCATGGGTCGTAGTGCATAGGCGGATCTACGGGAAAAGGTAGGAAGACTTTCGGATTGAAGTCCCCTCCCCAAAATGGTAAAATATAACCATGTTTTAAGAAAAAATATTTGAAGTTTAGAGCGTTTGTCTAGTAAGTGCTGAAGTAATCGGAAACGTCGAGCGGTTTCTTGTCGTTTCAGTCTAGTATGAGGATTCCAAGTTAGTCGTTTGTCCAGGTGGAGTCCTAGGTATCGGATTTGCTCAACAGAAAAAATATTTTAAAAATTATATCTAAAAGTATTATTGTTCGTATAATTACATTTAATAGGACTTCAAGAATCACTTAAAGACCATTTCATATAGGTAGTTAGTTTCGTTTTTACTTTCCTACCTAAACTAGGTAAGGAAAGTGTTGCAATCGGGTCAAATTTCCGATATGAGACTTATTTCAGAGCTCCCTGGTTTCGAAAAACACATTTTTAGCCATTGGTCTGTATGTCCCAAGATTTTCTCGGGAACTACTGAACCGACTTTGTTGCTTTTTTTTATTTTGTAGGGTTTTGATACTCAAATTGGATGCTCCAATAACAATAGCTGCGGCGCAATAAATTAAAAACATGTTTTTCTATAGACTGTAGCGCGAAAACGGCTCTAACGATTTTGATGAAACTTTCCTATAATGTTCCAATAATTGTCTTTTCAATTTTCGTATACAGACTAAATTCCCGACAAAATTCAGGGAAAAAAGTTATAGAGAAAGGAAAAAAAATTTGGGACCTAACTCGCCAAGTATATGTTCTATGGTAAAATTTATAATAAAACTTTTGAAAGGTAATTAAATCATCAAAAAAATAAAAAAATATCATCGGAATCGAGCCAATATTAGCGATGATACAGCATATTCTATTTTCTATACGTGTTTTAGCCTGTTTTTATAAGGTAAAAAAGTGAAATTCCCTACAAAATTGTATAAAAATCGTTCATTTCGGACAACTATTAACGAAGTCACAGCTATTCAATTTCCAATGTAAGATTACGGGTTCATATCCTGGTTTCAGAAAGGGATGAATGAGATAAAAAGATAACTAAGTGAAAGTAAGAAAATCTGTTGCCCGCATCGCACAAGCTTCACTATTTCCTCTACTTTTAAGAGAAACAGCAATATTAGAAAGTATTGAAATTTTTACACTTATCAACCTTAAGCTGGTTTACGTTGCTTTAGTTTATCAAATAAATCGTACTCAAATCTTTTCTTTGATAAATTTTCAGGAGAATAAATCTAATTCATTTTTTTTTTTTTTTGTTTCTTGATAGGTATAAAAACTTTGTTGAAATAGGTAGGGAAGTCGTGTGAGTGGACACACCAGATTTTTTTTTATCCAAAGTAATTATCGTTATAGCTAAATTAATTGTCGTAATTAACCTTTCTGGCTAAACCTCCCTCCCCCCCCCCCCAAAAAAAAAAAAAAATTAAACCCTGAATCCGCTAGTGACGTAGCAGTACAGACCCAATAAGGAAATTGAAGCTATTTTAATATAGGAAGCTTTTATATTTATTTGACATATTAAAAAGAGGAAAATAGTAGTTTGAGGCTTTAGACATTACGCCATAATACATTATTGCTAACATTTGAGGAGTATGTTTGAGCTATAATCTTTTCCTGTAGGAGTTGATATTATGAGGCTATCCAAAGAGGTTTTCATGATATTAATAAGTAGACAATTTGATTTTCATCGATCAGGGAGCTCTAGATATAGGGGCTGTCAGGAAGAGACCCTTTTAACAAATTATTCTAGTGCGTCTCCTCTTATTTGTATAAGTAATATGTCGATCGCTATCTCCTTCAGCTGTCATTTGTAGCCCTTCTCTAGATTGTAGCGGAGTTATGGAATGAACTCTTAGTTCTCTCTATATATATTAATGGCGTCTCATGCGGAATTCCTATTCTCCCCGAGGTTCTCTCCTAGGCACCTTACGATGATACACGCTATAACAGCCGCTTCTAAATTCCCTAACAAGATCGATGACATGCACCGCCTGGTCATAGAAGAATCTAGATTCATCAAGTTCATAAATCGTAGCCTAAACCTTTCTCGACTGTTCGGTATCTACCCCCTCCTTCATAAGAAGAATTCCACTCAGCTTTGCCCTTATTTGCTTATATACAATATCACCTTGATATTGGGCTTCGTACATGCTACTGTGTACATCGCTTTCTTTACTAGCGACTTTCTGGAACATTCAGTCATAAACACTACCATCCGTTGCATGAACATGTTCATATTCGTGGTGTCTCTCATTCTGTTCAGTTTCCGCCTAATCAGGCGTCACAGGCAAATAGGTTATATCTTCGAGATGATCGAATCTGCCGAAAAGAGACTCTCTAGCCTCGGGACTTACTTTTCTTACGGATTGCCTCCATTGTTTCAAACTCTGCTGACATGTTCCTTCTGGGCTTGTAGTATCTTCGTGAAGTTTTACTTCGGAGGGTTCAAGTCTTTCTTCCACGAATCGATAGCTTACTATACGGAACTGCTGCATACTTTCAACCTCTTTGGATTCTCCACTCTGCTGTACGCAGTCAAAGTACAGATCTCCAATGCCACCGATCATCTTCAGTGGGTCATGAACAACCAAGTACAGAGAAAGAGGAAGCTAGAAGTGTTTGAGAACCTCGTCGAAGTACACGAAGACCTGTGCAGTATTTCTTCTGAAATCAGCAAATTTTATTCACTTCAGTTGCTTTTCACCGTGACGGCTGGGTTCATCAGTTTTGTAGCCAATGCTTATTTTTGTGTCATCGGAAAAGGTTCCTTGGTCAACATCGCAGTTTATTTTTTCGAAGCTATGATAGGACTGTTTCAGAGTTTTATGGTATGTTCTTCACCGGTTGAACTCGCTAACAAGGTGTGTAAATCTTTAATTATTATTTAATTTTCATAGCAGCGATCTATAACAAAATGGTTGTAGATCACTCTTAACTGATTAATTTGTGATACTTTTTCTATTTTATTTATCATAGTTTTATTTATATAGATGACTTTTATTTATTTAATTTACTTTTTTTTTAATAATATCTTAATAGTAATTTTCATCCAATGCAGGAAGAATGAAACTTAAAAAAAAAAACAACTAGGCTTTCATTAATTATTATTGAAGCGAAAACTTCATTAGGTGCGTTTTGTAGTTTTTTCTGGAAAGTGAATTAGATTTAGTCGTTAGATTTCAGATGTGTAACGCTCGGATAAAGTCGACTAATTGAAGTGTTGTTGCATATGGATTAAAATATCTCAAAAACTAAAAAATCGGACCAGCAAATCGTTAGCGAGGGAAATGTTCATCATTTCATTTGCTTTATAATGATCTTTTATTTATAATTCATATTTCATATTATTAATCTCGTCTTTTTGATATTTTTACTTTTATCGTATGGTCTAAAGCACACACCTTAGTTTTTTTTTATTTAAATATTAATTTATATAGTCTTCATAGGGTAGTATCGGGCACTGCAGGAAGCAGTTAATAGAATGGCAGGCGAAACAGGTTTAGTGACCTGACACTCGATACCACTCCCTGATGGAGACCTACAATGTGGGTCGAAACGTCGGCGTAAACAATAAAATACTATTTTGATATATAGCATTCATTTAACCGCATTCCCCGAACTAAGTCCTTCTCATATTGAAAATTTATATTTAACACATTTGATCAACATAAAAAAAATAAATAAAAATACCAGCTGTACCAATACAACCCATGAAGGGTCTTGGGTTCAGTAATATTTAGGGAAGTAACTGTTTCTTGATCTACGGTTGTTAGGTGATTTTACCGTGATCACGCTCAACCGCTAGGCTTTTTCCCTTAGTCAATTATTTTTAATTAAGGGTGACCACTTTATAGAGGCTGGGTGTGCCACAGGAGGGTCTAACAACCCAGGGTCGCCCCACGGCCAATGAAACATAATAAATATTTTTTCTGCCATCAGCCGGAATACGAACCTGGGACCTTTAGCATTGGAAGCTCATTACCCTACCACTGAGCTACACCACTCAATATTTTATATATTTAGATAATATATATAGTAAAATATATTTACCTATATCACCTCTACGGTTTAATATATATTATCATATCATAAATCATAAGCAAAATAATAATACGGAGGATAAACAATAATATTCCATCAATATAAAATGGTTTTAAAAAATCTCAAGTATTTAATTCAATTTTCAAGACTTTAATAAATAAATTATTTGTATGCTCTTTAATATCAGTTCAGTTCAGTTCTATCAATGAGATTGCAGTAAGAATTTTTCAAACTATTACGGCTGCATTACTGGTTGTTGTAGTTGAAAAAAAAAATTAATATTTTATATTAATATATATGCATTTACTAAAAGGTTCATATTTTTTTATTAATTTTCGAAAGACAATCATTAACAGCACTCTTAATCAAATAAGCTATATTAACGCCTTCCAGTCATTTGGATGTTTTACTTTACACTAGTGTTGGTTGAAATAGCATACAAAAACGAATGAAGGCGTCTCACCGTTGTATAAAAAGGAAAATACTATTTTGAGTAATCTCATTGTATTCAATGTAACATTAACTATTTTTTTGATTTTCGGTTAGTATTATTTTTATAAACCATTGTGACAGGCCATTTTTTAAAAGTTTCTTTCTCTAAAGTATCTTTAAGGGGCTTCAACCCCGAAAGATTTTATACGTAATTACTTCGGGATTTTTTTTAATTAAAAAAAAAAGATTACCGAATTGGGAAATTCTATCCACCCTTAGGGAATTTAATTCCAGATCTACTGAAACATTTTGGTAGATTAATAGGAAAATTTACGTCTACCAATATTTAAACTGTGTGTAGTTGTCGGGTTCTTTTCACTACACATTTCGGCTCTAGGCAAATACATTTCTTCCCATGTATCGCTGCATGTCAACATCCGAAAAAGCCTTGAAGTGTAAAAGGAACCCGACTATTACACCAATTTTAAATATTCATAGATGCCAATTTCCCTATCAGTCTACCAAGATATTTCAGTAAATATGGAAGTACATTTCCTCAGGGTGGATAAAATTTTCCAATTTCTCTAGTCGGTTTTTTTTAAATGCTGATTGGATGTCGGTGATTTTTTTTTATATTTTGTGAATTTGATAACAATTCGAAAGATTGTATATAAAATTAACTATAAAATGTATTATTTTTTTAATTATTTCCCAACCCCCCCCCAAAAAAATATATCATAACTTTTTTTTCTGTTTTGTTTTTTTCGAGGAATCATTACATATGTGCAAATTGAAAAAGCTTTTAGTAGAAGACTATATGAAAGTTCCATCAAAATCGTTAGGGATTTTTTTTGCTCTGTAGTTTATAGAAAAAAAACTGTTTTCTCTAATTTCACAGCCACTATTGCGTATGGAGAACATAATTTGTTTCACAAGCATAGGCCTTATACTTATACACAACACTATAAATGAATCAACAAAATCTCTCCAATGCCAGATTAGTGTAATACAGACAGACGTTATTATTAGTGTAATACAGTTCAAAATTGTATTTTAGCGCAACGCTGTGTTAGGGAGGCGAAAAGGAAACAAATAGTATCGAAAACCAAATGATAACGAGTTTAGTTATGCATATGGATTAAATTATTTAAGATATTAAAAATCGGATCTGTATACTGTAAGCGAGGGAAGTGTACAGTATTTCATCATCTTTGAAATGAAGTATTATTCAAAATTGTGTCAACACCGTGTTAAAGAGTAGGAGGGAGGGGGGAAATATAGTGCCCAAAACTATGATGAGTTTTATAGAAGATATGGATTAAAATATCTCAGAAACTAAAAATCGGCCCTGTTCAGCATTTTATTCTCTCTGTAATGGGATATTATTTATAATGGAAGGAGATGGTCCGGGGCGGTGGTCATAAATAGACTAAATAGTGACAAAACTATTTTATTTAAAACTTTTTTTTTTTTAACTTTCTTTATTGAATATTAATACATTCTGCCACATTGAAGGGCATTAATATTAAGGCTACATGATTCATTCACACAATATGTACATACAATTAATATCAATAATAAAGAAAAAGAAATATAAAAAAAATAAATAAAATAAGTAAATTGGTATGCCTGTGTACAAAAAAAAAAAAAAAAAATGAAATAATAGATAAAAGCTAGATGAAATTAAAGTAAATAAATCACATTCACACCTCTGTACAATATTATTTAAAACTAGAACTGGATAGTTTTAAGTGAAACTCCTAGCTGAACACACCTCCTTGAAGAAGACCTGCAAAGTCGGATCAAAACGTTGGCTTTTAATAAAATAGTTTTGCCACTATTTAGTCTATTTATGACCGCCACCCCGGAACATCTCCTTCCTTAATAATGCAACGGCCAACTATTAAATATTCGGTATTATTTATAATATATTTTTCATATTATAAATCTTGCCTTTTTGACGATTTCACTTCTATCCTGTGTTCTAAAGCACACACCTTAATTTTTTTTTTTTAATGGATATTATACCCTCATAATTGAGTATTTTTTTCAATTTTAAAGTGCTAAATAGAAAAAGGAGGATTCTATACCTCCAACGGAGAAGTTTATAACTATAGTAATTACGGCGGCATAAGCCAAAAAAGACAAAAATTTCCTCAGCTATTTCCATCATTGGTGCGCTTACACTAATAGGATGTTGGTATGTAAACATAAACATACTCCCTCCATAATTCAGGAACCAATCAAATATTTTCATTATAGATAGTAACCGCTCAGAAATTGTTGCCTTTTTATGATGTAAAGAGAAAATCGTTCTTAGAGTAATTTTCACTGCTTTAGTGTGTGTGTGCTCTCCCATCCACATTCAGAAAGATGGCTTCGGTAGCTCCGGCAAAATGGCTCGAGTCGTTTGCTTTCCAAGGGAATGAAGTTGAAGATACAAGATTTCTGGTCTTCATCAACCGTTGTCTGACTATCCCACGGTTTTTAGGAATTCACCCCTTGAAGCACGAAAGGGCCTCCAGTTTTCCGAACCCCTACCTCTTGGCTTATAATGCCGTATTGGTATTTTTCACAATTCAGTCAGCGGTAATATCGATATTACGTACTTCACGAGTGCCTGTGCCTAATTTCTCGTCGATGGTGTACTTGTACCTGAACAGTATCATTCTTTCGCTTTCATTTTTCCTCTTTAGCTACAGAGTCATCAGGGATTACAAATTAATAACAAGCGTTTTCCAATCTTTAGAAATTTCCGAAAAGAGATTGTCGAGCCTTGGGATATTCTTCTCTTACGGTAAGCCTCCGATCTTCTTCTGCTGCCTAATGGTATCTTCGTGGGCGAGCCAACTCGCTATCTTTAGGTCCATTCATAAAATACTACTCCTGATACCGCTAGTTGCTGATTACTTGAAACTCCTTTACATCTTCAACCCGTTTTGCTTCGTTCTGCTTCTACACGCGATAGAGGTCCAACTTAAGAACGGGACTCGTCACCTTTTTTGGATAGCAGGCAGTCATATGCTTAGAAAAAAGAAGATTGAGTTTCTTGAAAACCTTGTGGAAATTTACGAAGAACTCTGTACCGTCAGTTGCGAGATAAGTAAATTGTTCTCAAAACAGCTTCTTTACACGGTGTTTTCAGCATTTAGCATTTTTGTCTTGAATTCATATCGTTGCGTTATCGATGAACTGAACTATTTGATTATAATCGGTTACTTCTTGGAAGCTTTGAACGGCTTTCTTCTCATTTGTATGATATGCTCTTCCTCTGAAAGAGTTAAGAGGCAGGTAAGCATTTTAGGTATTATTTTAAAAGTCTTACTCAAGATCTCATTTACCAGTATGTCCAAAAGTAGAAGGAGGTAATCGAACTGTCTGAAAAGACTCTAACCTCAACTGAAAAGGATCCCTGAGGAATTTGTTTAGGATTTATTTTCGCTCTATTCTTTAGTTATTTACTTTAAAATGCTGCATAAGCTTTATAATAATTAACATTTATATCGCATACATTCTAAAAGATTTATGTTAACGCCCCAAAAAATATTATTGAATAAATAATTTAAAAAGTTATTGACGGGAAAATACATTTATAAAGAAAAATAAATTACATTTATTTCCCTGATAGTTGAATTTGATGAAGAAACATCAATAACATACAGGTATTATTGTTTCAACTATTTAGTTAAAAAAGGAGGCGAGAAGTGTGTGTATTTTATTTTCCAACATTCTAAATTTAATTTGATAATAACACCTAATTTAAAATATGATAAAACAGTAATGACATCCTTGTATATTTTATGACTATATTTTTTAATATGAAAACAAAATAAAAAGGTAATGTTTTTTCGTAACAAAGTAAATGTAACATTTTTTCCATTGGCACAACTATAGTTGTAAAAATATTTCTTAGGAAGCATTTTCAGAATTCTATTTATAGTGTGATCATGAGATCTTGTACAGCGGTTTACGTTTCTCCAATTTCAGGTTTACTTATTAATTACATCCAGTTCCATCGAGATCTTGATCACTATGAATGATTGATTTGATATTGCTCAATATAGCCCTTACAAGTATAATATAATATTGACACTCCCCTAACAATATTGAAAAAGCTTTAAAAAAATGTATATAATCCAATTTGGTTGATTTCAATATTATTAATGTAAATTAGTGATTAGTCAATATATTGACAAAATTCGATGTTTACTCAATAATATTGACCTTTACGGGCCCATTTAGAAATTACAAAATCCAATAAATGATCCCAGTAAAGAGGGTGGAAATAACAGTAGCCTAATTTCCAACAATAATTTTCTCTTCAATTACCATAAGTTAAAATAAACAATTCTTCTTAATAAAGATTGTATTATTGTTACTTTATTTATTTATTTTTATTCCTTTACAACTTGATTAATATTTCTCAGTATGTGTATCCAGCATTAGTTACTCTGCTGTTTTGATACTTGACATTGCATTAAACCTCTATTTAAGTTATACTTTGCTTCCATTGAATGACAGGAATAATATAATAAAATTATTTTGTTACCATATATGATTGAAGAGATTTCTATTTTATTATTACTTAGTTGCTTCCACTTATAGGTTATCTGTTATTATCTGTTCAAATAATTACCTTTTAATGAGTTTTTTTATTTTTTTTAGGAATATTTCATTTCTTTCAGAAATTAAAAATAATCAAGCCTACTACTATGCTTCTATTTATTGTAAAATTGTGTCAATTATGATTTTCTGTTACAGGCAAAGAAATTTAACACCCTATTGTACCAGCTGATGATTGATGATAAAACTAATGAAATTTCTGAAAATGTAAGTGGAATATGTTTATAAATACTAAAATAAATCATGCATAAACCTACATAAAAATATTTTTAAAACAGTGAACATTAGGCTCTTAAATTAAAAGGACGAAAATGTGTAACATTTGATGTAAATTTAAAATAATGTTTAATTTTTTGACCGTCCACAGTCTTTTTAGAATTGACTTTTCATAAATGAATTGTGAATTTTATAATTAGAAGAATAATTATAGAATAATAATTATAGATTAATAAATGTTACAATAATTATATTAAAAATATAATTATATGGATTATATAATAATGATATAAATATTATTTTTGAAAAGGAGCGAAATTGCCTGAAACGTCGTCGAGAAAATTAAAATGAATTGAAGCATGAAATAGATGTCTACGGGTGAAATAAAACGATTTTCCTCTATATTATAAATGTTATTAATTATATATGCCCTAGAAAATTTTGAAGATTTAATAAAAAAAAATATTTAAAAAATAACAAATATGGCTGCACTTGAATTAGTCTAATTATTAAAGTTAGGATGAAAAATATGAATATAAATGTTTTTTTATAGTATTCAAACTTTTTAAAGTTTTGAGATACTATTTAATACATTTATTATGTTTCATTACCCAGTTAATATTTGATGAGGAACAGTTATTTAGTGATTTTTTTTTTTTTTTTTGAGAAGTAATCTGTTCCATTTTCAAATTAATTTTTTACCTGAACACTCTTCAAAAAATATATAAATAGATATAATAGAAGAGAAGATTGGTTGAGGTGATCAATAAAAAAAAAAGTAAATGTAAAAATAAATAAGTATATTTATTTTTATTTTTGCCGACGTTTAGGCCCAAAGTTCAGGCCTTCATCAGGCTGGTCAAATGAAAGATTTCCGCAGGACCATCTTTCGTTTGACCATCCCTGATGAAGGCCTGAACTTTGGACTGAAATGTCAGCCAAAATAAAAGTAAATATACTTGTTTATTTTTACATTTTTTTTTAATTGATCACCTCAACCATTCTCTTCAATTATTCGCTGCAGTCAACCATTAATCTACAATTATAAATAGATATATTGGGAATGCTGGGTGACAAAGAGTAGAGTGTTGCAAAGTTATAATAAGAAAAACATAAAAAGTAGATTAATAAACTTATATAATGATTTTTATTCCAATTCCAATTAAACTATGCCGATTGGAAATAATCTATAAATTTTGAATGAAAATCTGAGGAAAAGTATGAGTATAAAGAAAAATATAGCTCGCTTACTTTGTTCTTATAGCCATAGATTTTATTCTCCTTTGTAATCATGTTTGTATTTGTTGACCATTACTGCTTAATTTTTTCATATAGAAGAAGTTACGGCTGCATATTTCCATGAAGAGAGAAGTTGTCTTCAGTGCTTGTGGTTTCTTTAATTTGGACTATACTTTGATTCATTCGGTATGTATTTTTAATTTTCCATTTAGTAAAAATTATTTTATTTTAACAAAGTGAAACCACAGACGGAAGTTTCTTTATTGTATAAACTGAAGAAGACTGGAACTTAAGGATTTTTCTTTAACTTATAAAATTATTTATTCGTATATATTATTATGTAGACTGAAGAAAATTTAGAATTTGGAAAATTTCTAGTTTTGTTTTTGTTCTCAAAGTTTTGAAAATCACATATGATTTACATGAGTTCTTTACCTGAATAAAATTATTAAAAGATTACTGGACTACTTATATTTTTTCCTTTCTGGATCATTTACAAAATTCAATCAATACTGTAAAGTTTAGGTTGAATTATAGTTAATATCAAATTATTAGTTTTACATTTATGAACAATGATTCAGTATATATTTTTCTTAGTAATTTTTTATAAACCTTTGTAGTTTTTCTGAAGTTTATGTCAATGCATAAATAATTCATGAAATCGTTAATAATGTTTATCCATAAAACTGAAAAATAACTTATTAATATTTTATAAAATATTAATAACTTTTTTAGAACAGAAAAAGAAGTTACTGTTCTTTCTACAATGACTGCTAAAATGTAATAACATTAATTCCTTATTTAGAAGTAGTCATACGCATTATCATTTATTACATTTATAATGTTATAATATATCTAATAACAATTTCCAATGAATGAATACCAAACAAAAAAAATATATCAATGCAAACTTAACAGGTGGTGACAAATTATGTGATGACTAAACAATGGGAGCTGGATAGTGGAAAGAGAGAGACTGCTATTGTTAGATAGGAGAACTTTAATAGTTTTTTTATGGAATAAACAACATATTTGTCTTGGTGGTTGATATTTATAAACAACATATTTTATACTTGATACTTGATGTTTTCCATACCAAAGGAAGAGGTTAAGGAAATAGATTTACTGCGTCTCTCTTGCAGTCATTTTTCTTTAATACTTATGCTTGTTTCAGTATATCAAATAAGAATGTACTTTTTTCTTTTCTTGTGTACTTTATGAATTTTAATTAAATATTTGGTCAACAGCATTGCAATATTGGTAGTTTCCAAGGAATTGGATTGTAAAGAGTTGTGAACCGCATTTATATAACTTATGGGAATTTTGCTCCTTTTACAGTGAACAGTGGTTCATAGAGAAAAAAATTAGAATAGAATTGAACAGAAAATCATCTTTATTCTAGGACAAAGTCCCTTAAGAATAACAATATTGTTCATACAAATCCACAATAAATCTTGCACAACCTGGCATAAGGAGGTCGATGCTCTGTGTTACTTTCGTATAAATATTTATAATGTATATAATTAAATTTATTTCACAATTTATTTTAAAACTGTCCTAATTTTAACAGATGGTGGCTGCAGCAACGACTTACCTTGTGATCTTGATACAGTTTGGCCAACCTTTGAACACTGAAACCCCAACCGAGCACCCTAACACTACAATAACAAGTTCGAGTGATGTTTCAAACTATTTTACTACGCCCTCCTGGATTTACACTACA